ACGTATCCTTTATGCTCCTCGGCCATTACGCCTCTCCAGCTTCCCCAGCCTCTCTCCAGCCGGCAGGACCGCCGGTGACTTTTCCCCTCTCCGAGTTTCCCAGCTGTCCCAGGTCGGGCTACCTTGCCCAGCATGCACAGGAATGGATCCCCAACGTGCAGGCTGGGTCTCCCTCGGAAGGAACTTCACGTATCGCCCATTCAACCATTTCAAAGTCGAGCTTTGGCAATTTCAAAGCTGCCGCTATTGAACAAGTTGCCAAAACAAAATCATTCAGCTAAACTCCTTTTTTTTTCCCCCCAGCCCTTTTTATTAAAGTTTCTTTTCACACAAACATTTGACATGGAGAAATATTACCAACCCATTAGCTAAACGAAAACCTAAGCAGCACACAACCTTCTTTACTGAGAATAAAAATTAGCATCTTAATATTAAAATATATCTGCACCTCCTTAGACAACTGCCTTCCCCAGTTTCTGCAGAGGGTTTCTGCACTGCTAGCACAGAACAGATGTCTGTAATGCCATCCTAAACCGTCTCCTATCAAGTCTGCAGGGCAGGTCCTTGCTCTGCCATTCTCACTCACCAGTTTAAGCCCTTACACAGGCATTTTTACTGCCTGCAGTTATGTCCAGGTGAGTAGGCACTTGCAAGACGTAGATTATATTTTTAACCCACACAAACGGCACAGCAAGGTTAACCAAATGTCTTAAACTCAGATTAGTCAGTACGATACAAATTATTTCCTTCTGCACACTCCACAATAAAATTAGATTTCTGCAAACAATTTAAGGCTTCCTCTAGAGTTTTACCTCTCCAAAACAAGAGTGCATCTCTGCAGAGATATTTTCCATATAGTTTGATCATACTAACAGCATAAATAACAGGGATGGTTTAGCAAACAGTCATGAAAGTTAGGCTCAGCTAAAAGAGCCAGTGTTACTGTATGGTGCTTTTAATCTGGAAATATCATATTAAAATAAAAAAATGCAAACACGCAATACTACACCCTATCCACTGCTTCGGAGCTTTACAGCCCACAGAGTTACTATAGGAACTTAATTCCTGGTGCCGTAGCGCCGAGACACTTGAACACAACCTGATCAAATGCCTTCAGGACTCTGCTTTCACACTGTGTGCAACCACTAGCTGCTAATGGCACGCACAAAGCTTGAAAGGAAAATATATTATTTTCAGAGGATTACACCAGACACAGAGACAGATATGCAAAAACAATGACACCAAAGGAATCAAAATATTCATGGCCCATAAAGCGTGGTGGAGAAGGAATGGCTCCAGCTCATCGCCTGCCTCTGCTTAGATTCTTTATAGCACAATGAATCAACATTACCCCTTTTAGAAAACCATCCCGAGTTCTGTTTATTTGGGGACAAATCCACCTAATCCCGCTGATACAAGCAAGCACAGCAACTTCAAGGGAGCTGCCAGTCTGGGAGAGGACAGCAGAATACAGCCCCTTTTTGTGAACAGTCCTGGGACTCTTCTGGGGTGTGACACAATCCATTATTAATGACACACTAAAAGCTGAGCTAACATGGCACCTGCTCTGCCAGCGCTGTCCTGCCCTGGCCGGCTCTGTAATGCTTTCGCCCGAGCTGTGAGCACGAGGAATGCCCGCAAGTCCCTGCTGCCAGGCCCTGGCATTGAAAATCATGAGCTGTCTCACCCCAACTCGCAAAACCAGCCTAAGAAAACTGGGAAAAAGGCAGGGTCTTTCCTGCTCAAGGACTCTCCGTATCTCCCTGCAATGGGCAAAGGCGAGGATCAGAGCCTTTTTGCTTCTTTTTTACAGAAAAACCCTTCTTATTTGTCCGTGAGAGCTGAGGACTCGGCAGCAGGGTGAGACAGCTCTTCCCTGGCCTTCACCCCCGAGGTGTCGGGGCCCGCGGCAGCCGGGGGGGGGGACAGT